ACTATAATATTTTGATCCTCCCCTGCAGTTGATTCTTCAAACTTCACGCGGGTATAGAGTCACAAAGAGTAGAAGCATTACCATTCAACTACATACCTTCGATCATTCGTGAACATTTTTACAAATTTGGGAACATTGTCACAAATCTTGAACATTTTTTACTATTTAAAAAATATTTAATTTTGAACATTTTTTCATATTGTGAATGGTTTTTAAACACTTTCTTTTGAATCGGCGAACAATTCTAGAATAGACGAACATTTTTTAGAAATTTGTGGATTTTTTTAAAATTCATGAACATTTTCTGAATAAGCAAACTTTTTATTAATCAATAAACTCTTTTGTATTTCACGAACTGTTTTTAAAATTTTAGGATATTTTTTTGAAATGCATGAACATTTTTGAATTAGCAAAAAGTGTGTTCAATTTCATTAATAATTTTAAATGCACGAAATTGTTTATGAAAATCATCAATTCTTTTTGATTTTATGAACATTTGTTTCAAAATTGCGAACATTGTTTTTAATATGCAAGCAATTTTAAATGAACGTTGCATTTTATTTTGTCTTGAAAATTTTATTTCAAAGTTGCCAGTTTTTCAAAATTGGCCGAATGTTACAAAATTTGGTCAAATCTGAGTCAAATTTTGGTCAATTTTCAGCCAAATTTAAGTAACTAGTTATGCGCTCCTGCAGGAAGTTGGTCCGGTCAGCGTCCTCTCATGTCTTGTAGTCTTCGAGTGTATATATAGAAATTTTAGGACAAATTATCGAATAGAGTAAAAAAATGCATTGAAAAGATGCAAGTCATCATCTCTCTTCTCTTAAATTACACAACCCAATGAGCTAAGATCATGTAAAAATTAAGAAGACCATGTGTAGAACGTTATTGATATTGATTACATTTATTTTATTTTAAAGTGCACTGTGAAGATAGAAGTATACCTTTTTATGGACAAATCAAATTTTAAAGTCAAATGTCCATTCTTGGCGCCAGACGGAGGGAGTATTTTTTTCTCAACAATGAGGCAGAAATCGTATAGTATATACCGGGTGCTGATGCTGCATTAATTCCCGGCCTTTGTTATCACCAGGCGGCAGACATGAGCTTCTTCAGATACCCGATGCTTGTTGGCGCCTGCCACGTCCATCTCGGAGAGCTTGTTCAGGTACCCGATGGCGCCTCTTGCACCTTTTGCTCACCGACGACGACAGGAGGCACGAGATGGCGTACTTCTTGACCGTGTCCCCCGGGCTCGGGTCCAGCAGGTGCACCAGGTTCGGCACGCTCTTGTCATCCTTCTTGACGCTCCTCGCGTTCGCCGGGCAGCTCATCAGGGTCGCCGCCGCCACCTCCCGCGCGCCGTTCGACTTGGCCTCCAGCAGCCGCACCAGCAGCGGCATGCACCCGTGGTCGGCCACTCGGCGCTTCATCTCAGGGGAACTGGAGATCCTGCAGATGCCCCCCGCGCCCGCCTGCTGCGCGCCACGGAGCCGTCCCGGAGCACATGCGCGAGCTGCGGGAGCACGCCGAGGGACACAAGTGTGTCCGGCGAGACGGCGCCCACGGCGGACTCCTGCGGCAGTGGGCCATCGAGGTAGGCGAGCAGGCTAGGCAGCGCGCCCTCGGACACCACGGCGCGCCGCAGGCTAGGCAGGAACTTCGCCGCGTACTACTTGGAACCCAGCACGCCGCCGCGGTCGAGAAGGCTGATCATCACGCGCACGATGCCTTCCTCGGCGAGCGCTTGCCGGACCTCCGGCACCGCGGAGAGGTTCTTGAGCGTGCCCGCGGTCGCGGATTGCGAGATGGAGTCCCCGGTCTGGCAGATTTCGATGAGTAGACGACGCCGTTGTGGCCGACGATTGCGCGGGTGACATGGACAGACGCTGCAGCGTGATGATGGCCTTCTCCCGGTGACATGGACGGACTCTGCCAGCCGGATGAGCGGTGTCCACCTTCTCCCTGATCTTGGGCGCCGTCGCCATAAGCGGCTGCACCAGCGCGGCCACGTTGCCACGGCCGAGCGCCGACATCACGCTCTTCTCGTCCTCGCGCAGCGCATCATGGAGCCCCTCCACGGCCCGGTGCTTCGTCTCGGTGTGCCCGGTTTGCAGCCTAGCGAGCAGCTCCCGCACGTCCATCTGCGAGGCTGCTGCCGCCACCGCCTCAGAGCATCGCAAGTAAATTTTTTTAGGGCGCGCAAGTAAATTTTTTTAGGGCGCTAGAAGACGTTTGCTCCAACAAGCGCTGTAAAATATGCTGCGCGTGCGAGTCCAACGGTCCCAATCAAGCGGTCCCATCTGCAGCAGCCCAAAGTTTGCAGCGCGCGCGACCGGGCGAATTAAATATGCTGCGCGCGATGCCTTTTTGATGCGCGCGATGCATTAGTTATAGCGCGCGCTTCTTGCGCGGCTGCTGGAGATTCTAAACCGGGTCCGCGCGCGCTAAAAGCAGTTTTTATACCGCGCGGCGCTCATATAGCGCTTCTGTTGGAGATGCTCTCCGCAAGAGGAGACGGAACGTCGCATCTGACAGCACACCTGTCTTGACAAGCAGCGCGCAGTCCAAAGGCTGAGGTCCAGCTTCCCGGTGAGAGCGTCGAGGTCGCTCTGCATCTGCAGCTTGCCAGCCTTGGGCGGCGAGCGTGGCTGCAACGGACTGCGGCAGCTCACGGCGGCACCCTCTCCAGCCTCACTGCGATGGTCTTCCACCGCCCGCCAAAGACGGTCGCCGCGTCCAGCGCCGCCGACACCAGGCCCCGTGCTCGCTCGAGCAGACGCTGCAAGCTCATTTCAAGCTCATTAGGCATCCACTAGATTAGTGATGCTCGCTAGCTCCTCAGTTAGTAAAGGAAGAAGCGGACAAATCCTGGAGGGAGAAAACAGCGGAGAAGAAGCTAGAACAAATTCAGACAAAATCAATTCAGATAGATTGTCTCGCGGGTTGAATTGTAAAAACGTCTGGGGTATCTACAAAATGTGCGGTGATGACCGGCTTGGGCCAGTTGGCGTCACTTGTCTCGGTCCTAGAACTTGCACATAATGTGCAAATTTAGACCATTATGTGCAAGTTCTAGGACCGAGGAGTTAGATTTTGCAAATTTTAGGACTAAACCATCGCAAATTCTAGGAGACAGACACCCTGGCATCAATGGGATGGACAGCAGGGAGCGCCAACGCTAGTCCGTGGAGGGATGTCGGACAACAGAGGCCATGACTCGGGAGGCAGAGGAGAGGAGTGTAGTGTTGCCGTGCCCGGCCGTCGGCCCGCCAGAGAGGGGCCGGCCTTGCGCCAATGGCGGAGCCAGGAAAATTCAATGAGGAGGGCCAAACGTTGCTAAACCTAGTTGAGGAGGGCCAGTCCATTAAAATACTCTGTTTTAGCAGCAAAAGAATATGTGTTTACACTAGTATTAGTCTTAAACCAATGACATTAGGGAGGGGGGGGGGGCAGGGCCCCTGCTGATCCCGCTGTCTCCGCCACTGCCTTGCGCCGCCTAAGGGGCCATCGGCGTAGGTGGGGGGAGGGAATGACGTCAGCATGGAGGCAGCACCTTAGGCGGCAGAGAAGTGAAATTTTCGGTCCTAATTACTCCCTCCGTATTATATTAGTTATCATTTAAATGGATGTAGAACGAGCACTACGTATAGTGGTTAGTTATCAAATTGCGCATGTCAAGTTTGTCATAGTAGTAGAGGTAGGTAATTAATCCTAACAATCGCTAGTTCGCTATTATTTTCTTCGTAAATTAATATAAGAGCGTTTAAATTATTATTTTAGTGATCTAAATGCTCTTACATTAGTTTACAAAAGGAGTACTCGTTAAGCTCCTGTTTTTTTTTCTTTTTTTAGAATTCGTTAAGCTCCTTTTTTTTTTTTGAGGGGACGTTAAGCTCCTCCTGTTAGGCGTGCACTACAGGCCCGGCCGGCCCAGGCACGTGGGCTGACGTGCCGGCACGCCTACACCGGCCCAGTTGGCCAGGTTTGGGCCTAATGTTACCGCTATAATAAAAAAAGGAAAAGAAAAACCTCGAAAAAACCTCCCCGCTCGACGCCAAAAAAATTCCCGCCGGTGCACTCCCAAAATCCCCCCCTCCCTCCCCCCGAGGCTCCACACCCCGCCGGTGCCGCTAGGGATTCCCTCCCGAAATCCCCTCCCCCTCG